TCGTGAACGCCGTTCTACCACGCGATTTAATATGATTAATTAAATAATAGTATCTTATCGTTTCATCATTAGAATCAAATCATCAATTTAAGCATTGTGTTTTTAATTATTTATGCTAGTTATTATTTTACGTTTATTGTGAAATTCCATTTTATATTATAGCATGTACGACTACGCAAATCGCAACGTTTGGAAACCGACAACAATTACCACCTAAATTATTACTCGATACAAAAATCAATTACAATCTTGAAAAAGCCTTAAATAAAATTAGCGTAAAAATTGACTTTGACTACTTTCGTCTAAGGATACTGTGGAAAATGTAAAATAATTTTCAAAACAGAAACTTTAAGACTGCACTTTCACGGATTAATTAATAATAATTATTAAATATTTTTACCCTGCAATAGGTTATTAAAAGAGAACTTGAAGAAGAAGATAGACGTTTAGATATGATGATGGAACAACGACGTCAAATGGCAATTAACGAAGAAGAAAGGAAGAGACAGGAACAAAAAGAGAAAAACAGAACGTTTGTAGGAGCGATGATGCAACAAATCAAAGAAAATGAAATCAGTCGTTTGATGGAAACGGAAGCAAAGGAAGAAGAAAGTAGGAATATAAACAGGGCCTTGATTGCCATGAGGCGAGAAGACGACGAGAAAGAAAAGGCGAAGCGTGAAAAACAGAAACAAATTAGGGAGGAATTTAATAGGAATAACAAGGAATTAGAAAAATATAAGTTGATTGAAAGAGAAGAAGAAAAAATTACTGAAATGAGAGTAAGTAGTAATTTCTTATCACTCGCTCTACGTGTTTTATAATGTAAAAAAAAGTATTTAATAAGGACTCTACACATATTTCAACATGTTACATACGAAAATAGTCAAAAAGCAGATCCAATCAAGAGTTATGAGCTTATATTATACTTTTTAATCTTCAGATATACTTCGTTTACTTTCTGTAGCGATGTGACCTTCAGTTTGGCCGGTGCAAAGTAGAAAAGAACAGCACTCGGCCAGAAAAGAAAGGAGACAACTCTCGGCCAAACTCTCAACCGGTGGGGAGCGTATAATCCGTACAGTACTGCACGGAAAAACTGACCATATTATCCACTACAATTGCATTGCTCAAATGTGCTGTTATTGATACCATTTACTACTGAAAATATCAACGAGATGTTTGTTTATATTTGAAAACATATTAAAGGCTTCAACGCATGTTTTCGACTCGCAGTACTATTCCTGATTGAACAAAACTTTTGGCAGGTACTGTATGAAAAAGTATGTTTAATGAACAACAGTCGAGAGTATAATGAGATTTTTTCTCCCTATCTACGATTTTGTCAACGCGCATCCAAGACATTGGAACGGGCAAATCGCTACAGAAAGTAAATGAAGTATATATTATGTTCTTTGATCCTCACTTCCATAATTCGTCCTACCTGGCCTATATATATATATATGTGATCTCACATTTTATGCCATCTTACATACAAGTAAACACTCTTTCAAATATTTAAAACCTAAATTTTACTTTATTTTTATTATTATCACAATGGTTTAAAATAACCCAGCTGGGTCATCAACACAAATTATGCATTGTGCATTTTATTCTATTTATAACATTGTAACGAAATTTGTAGTAAGTATATTACGTATTATTTAATTAATGAAATATGCAAATAAGTTGTGAAAATCTACAGATACATAAATTAAAGTAAATGCAATTATAAGGTGCAAGAATTTATGAGAAAGAAAGCCGAAAGAGAAGAGCAACTTGAAAGGGAGATACAGGAGGGTAAAGCAGCAAAAGAGAAGGAAATTGCAAGATTAAGGGCCATGCAAGAAAGGGCAGCTGACCAACAAGCTGCCGCTGATGAACTTAATGCCATGAGAATACAAGAAGAGGTAACAACTTTTAACCTATACTCATCTACAAAAATGTTTCAAATAAAGCGACGTATTTTTGTCACCTTTTAGGGTTCCGTACGCCTAAACGAAAAACGGAACCCTTACAGGATCACTAGTGTGTCTCTCCGTCCGTCTGTCACAGTCAATTTGCTCCGAATCTACTGGACCGATTAAGTTCAGATTTAGTACATATATGACTTTCTGTGATCCAAACACGGATGCAGAACGTAAATAAATTAATTTTGAACCTGCGGGTCGTTTTTTTTTTGGAATTTAAAAACAAATGTATTGCAAAGTGTACCTTGTGACAAATTAAATGAAAAGGCTTATTGTTAGGGTCTCAAATATACTTAAATTTATAATTTTAAAATAAATCGGTTTAAAGTCATAAATAGATGAAAATTGATCGTTTTCCCGCGCTTATTTCCGAAACTACTGAACATAAAATTTTGAAAAATATGCGGGAAATAGTTCTTTACTTTTAGATTACAGGAAAATTAATAACAAGTCTATGGTCAGAACGTAACGAACAATACTTCAACAAAACAATATTGTACGTACAAATTTACGTTTGCAGTTTGTTATTGTTTATATCAAATCGATAATACAAACATAAATAAATTCGATTTTAGGTAGAGAGAGAATGGAGAGATAAACAAAAAGCTATCGCCAAGAGAAAAGCAGATGCTGAAGAAGAATTGAAAAGAGATAGAGCAAGACAAATGGAAGATATCCGGAAAGGGCAGGCATTAGAAATAGCTCGTGAGAGACAAGAATTTTTCCAAGTACGTGCCACATTATTTCCATTCGAAACTGTACAAAAATGATACTCACAGATTAGAGAGAAAGTAGAAAGTAGCAATTTTCGCTGGAAACATTTTTAATTATTTAAATAATTATAACGCTTATTTAAGTTTCATAAATACTTTAAAAAATTCTCTAACAAGTGCAATTTCGTTAGCTACACTACATATGGCTCACTGAAAATGGAAACACATTTGATTATAACTAGTTAGAGAACTGCCAAAATCATACAATGATAATGTTGCTTTATATATTTAACTATTAAATATACGTACTTAACGTTTATAAAAACGAGAATAAGGGTTGGATGTTTTGGATTTCAAGAAAGGGGTACAGAAAATCGCCCTCATTATATGACTAAGAGTAAAATTATAGAACAATAAAAACAGTATATTTAAACGTACATACAATTTAGACATCTTTTAGAAGTGAGTTAGTTTAATATGAAATATTATTCTGAAAATTCATTTCTGAATTTTTTACCCACTACACACTACCACAAATTAATGATGGAAAAATTGTTGCTGTTATCACACCCCCACCGGGAATTGAACCCGGAACCTCATTAATTTGAGGTAGTGTGTAGTGGGTAAAAAATTCAGAAATGAATTTTCAGAATAATATTTCACAGTATATTTAGTTAACAGAGAAGTAAAATCAAAACATAGAAATTATCTGTCCCATCTCTTTAATTATTAAAGTATAAAGGTCAATGTCTGCTTTTCTACAATTTCCTGCAAAAATAACTTATTTTCCCGTACCTATATATTTGAGTTTTTCATTCAAAGCGAAGAATAAAAGCAATTTTCTATAGAATTATTACCACATCCAAATTTCGTACAATCATACCGATTACATACATAAATCACATCTCTGGTAGACACTCTGCCAGAGATGTGATTTATGTGAAGTACTTGCTTTTAAAATGCAAATACAAAATAGAAAATACCTATTTTTTTCTTGCATTTAAACACTTTTTCGAGAAAAGCATTTGTATTTTATTTAAAATACTTTTCCCAACTTATTTTCTATTTGTAAAATGCAAAATACATTTTTGCCGTTAAGAGTTTTCCTAGTATCACCGATCAAACGTTATATAAAATGATGAATAAAAGTTGTTCCCATTGGCTTTTGAAGGTATTAGAAGATTAAAAAGGAGACAAAACGTTTCTTTCTTTTATTACAATGTGTAAAAGAAAACAAAATGGGGTTGTAAATATTTTGATATAAAACGACTGATGTTGATTTTACATCGATAAAATTATTTGCAACCCTATTTTGACTCTGATCTTTCACTCTAAGCAAACTATTTTTTCATCAGTGTCATTTTTCTGATTAAAAGGGAGATGTACTTAAATACTTTTAAAAAATTGTTTTGCACATCTCTAGATATGACGCAAGCAATTCGCTACTTTTAGATTCGTCCTAGCTTTTCCAAAAGCAATGTTTGTTTCAAAATTAGTTAGTTAAACGAAAATTATTAATAACACCAGTACATTTGCAAGAACTTAATCGAAAGTTAATAGGCTAATCGGAAGCTAATCGATTAATAGAAAGTTAATCGACCAATCGATTACAAATCGATTATTTCCTAATGAAATACATAAATCCAATAATCTACTAATNAATACATAAAAAATATAAAAATTTAATGAGTTTTTAGTTTATATAGGAAACAATTTCTGTAAAAATTTCGGTAATGGAATGAAATTAACTTTTAATAAGCGAAGTTGAAATTCTTTATTATTACATAGACACTAAAATTTAACCTACAATCCATTATCAGCATTTTATTTCAAGATTGTCCCTTTCACATTTCTAGACGAAACAACTAAAATTGTTCAACATCCCTACATATACTCATCATACATGTACACTAAATAATAGAAATATCTATCTACTTAATTCTTACCAGTATCTACTTCTTTATCTATATTTCCAAAACAAAAGAAACTTAAAATTAATAATCCTTTAAGACAAACAGTTCGCGTAGTAACCACACAAACACGCGATACTGTTTTACGTTGGCTTGACTTTGTAAGGACATAACGAAAGCCAGATGAGATAATAATTGTAAGCAAATATTTGCATCATTGTATGATACTTATATACTAATACCTAACGCCGAAAGAAACGTTACATAACAGGAACTACACTTATTACATACTGATTAATAAAATTTTAAAAATATCTAATAATAAAGATAATTTAAGCTTTTATCTAGTTTTTTGCACAACTGAATCACCTCAGACCAGTATAACTAATTAATTAATGGAAGGTTGTTAATTAAAGTCGACATTCGTTCGCTAATGCTGTCTCACGTAATCACCTCTTTATTTTTCTTTGAACAATACAAAAGGTTGCCAAGGTGCAACAAGAAGAGTACAACAAGGAGCAAGAAAAAAAGAGAAAGCAACGGGAGGCAGCAGTTTGTCACAGGAAAGAGCTCCTCAAGCAAATTAACGAGAAGGAACTCGAAAGGATCGAAAAACAGAAACAAAAATTCGAAGAGGGTGAAGCCATTCGCCTAGAACAGGAGATTCGCAGTTTGAACATTAAACAAATACTTAAGAAAAAAGTGGAAACACTGAAGTAAGTCGATGTATATTTTCAAGTGCATTAACGTATGTATGACTGAAGCTACTGTAATAGTTATTGATGACTCACTCATTGATATTTTACTCAAAGCTTCCCTTCCGTATGCGGACAGTGTCTCGATGAACTTTATCAGTGTTTTTGGATTTTATGCACATAGAGGCTGTTCATTTTGATACCACTGACGACCACAGTAAACCCGATACACGTATCGAAGAACTAAAACATATTTATGCAAAATTTTCACGAAATTTAACGGAACAATTGTACCGAATACGACGATTATTTCGTATAAAATAGAGAACATCGCCATCTATTTAGGTAAATCATTTATTGTCGGATACCCACACAGAGAAAACTGAATTTTTATGGCTAAGCAAAAACTTCAATTTTCGATTTTAAACAACTGATTTTTCCGTAGAAACAGCAGAATTTATTAGGTAACTTGTAATAATCTAAGTAATTATTATTATTTTCGCTTTCGAAACAACGGGATAGTGGGATAAATTGTAAATACTCAAGTAAATTTTCCTTTTTCATTTTTTCCGTGCAAAATTTTGATTATTCGATATTGTGGTAGCTGAAACCGACCACTGCCCAAAAGCATTAGCGTCTTCTCTTAGTTCTTCTTTCTTTTTCAAAACTTTTAAACTTTTGCCCCATCGAAGACTAAACTAAATATAATTATATAGTACCTACACAAATAATTAGAGTATTCTAAGTCTTGATGCGGCATCTGGCGAGAAATCAATTAAAATCAATAATCCCCTCTATTTTATATAAATTGATTCTGAAATAATCGTCAATTTGGCATCTGCTCAAATTGTTCCGTACAGGTAGCGACTTTCTTATAAGTTATTTCGATGCCCGTACGAATTCAGAATCTAAGATCAACAAAGATAATAATGCCTGATATATCGAGAAATAATTACTTCTTACGGATTAATATACNAAATACAAAGTTTTAGTTGTATTATGCGCGGATTTCTCATCATTTTCTTTAGAAAACAACCTCATACCTTCTACGGCATCTGACGAGAAATCATTTAAACAATTGATAATCCATTCAATTTTATATAAACTTACCGTAACTGTTTAATTTCATCTGTACAGGTCGTGATTTTCTTGTAAGTTTTTTGAATATGCGTCCGAATTTCGACATGCGTACGAATTGGGCGACTCTTATTCATTCAAATACAAAGTTTTAGTTGTATTATGCGCGGATTTCTCATCATTTTCTTTAGAAAACAACCTCATACCTTCTACGGCATCTGACGAGAAATCATTTAAACAATTGATAATCCATTCAATTTTATATAAACTTACCGTAACTGTTTAATTTCATCTGTACAGGTCGTGATTTTCTTGTAAGTTTTTTTAATATGCGTCCGAATTTCGACATGCGTACGAATTGGGCGACTCTTATTCATTCAAATACAAAGTTTTAGTTGTATAATGCGCGGATTTCTCATCATTTTCTTTAGAAAACAACCTCATACCTTCTTCGGCATCTGACGAAAAATCATTTAAACAACTGATAATCCACTCAATTTTATATAAACTGATTCCGCAGTAATCGTCACTGTTTAATTTGATCTGTACAGATCGCGATCTACTTATAAGTTATTTGGACATGCCTCTGTATTGAGCGCCTCTTATTTATTCAAATACAAAGTTTTGATTGTATACTGCACGGATTTCTAATGTTTCTTACTTGCAGGCAAAATAATGTCCCTAAGAAATTTGTTACGGACGTAGCCAGACAGCTGGGGGTGTAATGACAACCAAGGATGACCCTCAAACATTTATGCACGTGTTAAATTTACTTCCATTTATTATACCTACATTATACGCTATTATATATTTATAACTATTACAATAAAATCGAACTAAATAGTAAACTAATGATTTTTTTGAGAAGGTCCTTAAAGATCTAAAAAAATACCAATTGAGTGCGATTTCACTCCTTCTGGTGCTAAAGATGTAAAATAAATAAAACATTCTATGTTTTTTTTTTAAGGCAAGCACCACTAAAATATTAATACGCTATTAAAAAAAAAAGAGTACAGAAAAATATCGTGATTTTTTTTGAGTTCGCAAACAGTTATGTAATTAATTGGTTCAGACAAAGTCAGACGTAGTTACATGGAAATCGATTGCCTAAAAAAAAGTACAGCTTTGTTTAAAGAAATTTCTCGTTAAGTAGTTACGAAAGCCAATTACAATTGACGTCATGTATTCTGCTGGTGACAGATTAATTTTTTATTATATGGTAGATACTTCTCTTTATCACCAAAATCTACAGATAAGGTAAAATATTCACCGAACATAGGAATTACACAATTCTTTATCTGCATTTTCAGCCGATATAAAATAAAAATATAAAAAAGCGAAACTTTACCTTTGTTTGAAAAAAGGTGTCTGTTTATTCCTGTATCTGGATAACACCTGATTGAAGTATAGAGACAAACTATTTTTTTCGATATTTTTTACTTCTTTCTAGTACTTGTACTATTTTGTTCACTTAAAGGTCAATTTATGCATTAGAGGAAGGGTAAGTTCTCGAGTTTTCATAACTTTCACAACTATCCACACTATTTTCATTTAAAGTCACAAAACTCACAAACTCGCAACGACAGAATTTTTCTGCATTTAATACAATTATTGTGTCGTTAAACAGAAAAATTTGTACTTAGAGTACTTACTTACTTACTTTAAGAAAGTATCAGATTAAATGAGGAAGACCAAAATTGAACACTCAAGATCAGGACTAAGACCGTAACTATATCAACAAGGCGAATGCCAAGACCGAATAAGTAAGACCAAGATCAATACCAAGACTGGAACAGTGCTGATCTTGGTCAAGCATTATTTATCTAAAGAAAAAACAAGTAAAAGTGTCATTCACCTACTAATGTATTTTGTCTTAATTCAAATTTTATCTCTTTAGTTTGATAGCAACCAGTAATAAAAAAAATAAGTTTGTTCTTCTTAATAAAAGCTTACCTTAACACATCCTTGCAGAAGGATTTTCTACAGAGAACAACAGATACGACCCTTATTCCTAAAATCTCAAAAAAAAAAAATGTTTTTCATGATGTGCAATAATAAAGAAAGTGCATATTCTTTATTAAAACCTTTTTTTATTAATAGAATTAGGTACATAGTCTGGTAAATAACGATAATATATTAGTTAAGGTAAGTAGATTGCAAAACTTTTCTCTCAGATACATTCGCTCATAATTATTGTTAATGTTACATTACAGTCTTTGTAAAATTACTTCATACAAGTCAACCCTTGCGTTCAATTTTCTTTATTATCCAATCATGCATTTACCAGAAAAACAAACAAAAAACAATAATAAATTGATAAACATATAACAATTTAAAACAAACAAGAAAAGAAAACAAAAACAGAAAAAGACAAAAACAAACAACAAGCACGTCTGCGTGTTTCTTTGTTTTTTTTTTTTTGGGTGATATGTCCGTTAATGTATTTGTGTCTTCCTTTTTTTTTTCATGTTTCACATTTTATNTTTGTTTTTTTTTTTTGGGTGATATGTCCGTTAATGTATTTGTGTCTTCCTTTTTTTTTCATGTTTCACATTTTATTAATTCAAAAGTTTCATTTTATTCTCTTTTATCCTCATCTTTGAAATTATAAATGGGGTTTGTATATTCGTGTTGATCAGGGGAGAGAATTCGTTCATCAAGAGCATTATTCAGAGCACCAAAAACAGGATTTTGAAAACGAACACTGAAATTTAAATAGTTACACCGTTCAACCGTGTACTAATTTTTTTGTTAATATAATACGTAAAATTAAAAGTAAAGTAATTTGTGTACATACCTTACATTGAATTTACCAGAACTTTTCCTTTTAAATACGTAATAGGCAGCAATACATATAGCTATTATAATCAAGGGTGCTATAATTCCTGCAGCTAATGAGCCAGAACTTTTCTGATTTACAGGAATCTTCTGGATATTGTCGTAATCCACTTGGAGTTTAGGCCTTTTGATGTTATTTAGTTTTTCATTCTAACATTTTAAATGTGATTTTTAATCATTTAATATGCAATAAATCTTTTTTTTTTAAACTAGCTTATCAAAATTGTACACTAATATTATCAAGGTTATCTGTTAGAAATTTTAAGGCATAAATTATTATTTAAGTTTCACAAACTTTATTTGAAGAGCGTCGACAGCCGTTTCAATTTTTATTTCATTCTTACAGTCTTGAAAATGATATAAGAATCGAATGGACTGTCGATAACATTCAAACAAATTTTGTGAATCTTTACCAAGTGGTTTTATTGTTTCAATTTAATATTTCAAAAAAATTGAAAATCCCTGAGGATACGATTCAAAGAAATATTGGATAAAAGAGTTCATCGGCAGATTCATTGAAGGTGGACAGTCAATCCATGACCTTCAACCCCCAATATGGAACTCCCCTTAGTCACTCTTTTTTGTCATTTCTAGCCCAATGGCAAACAACTGAAGATGAAAGATAAAGAATAATAATGCGAATAGCCGGTCAGTCCCTGACCCTCCTACCTACACTGCATCTTCTTTTAGGAATAGTGGGAACGAATGAGTAGTGATTGGGAAAAGACAAATGAAATGCAAACAAAAAAGTGGTCGAAGAAGACCTGTGTTCTCCTAAATATGTTTCTAGACCACGCCGCTCAGTATATAGAAAATATAGGGTTGTTCGGAAAGTCATTTCGTTTTTTCCCGACAGAGGATTTAATTGTATTCTTTTGCACCCAACTTCACATTTAAGCCGTATAATTTTTATATGCTTTCAGAGCTCATATAGCAAGGCTTATGTGTGAAACATTCCAATTAATTCTACGCAGTAGTTTTTGGTTGGTGCCCTTTTAAATATGGAGAGCGATAAGCAGTATTTTCGACATATCTTACTGTTTTACTACAGAAAGGGTAAAAATGCTGTTCAAGCCAGAAAGAAATTGACTGATGTGTATGGAGAAGGTGTGTTGACAGTACGCCAGTGCCAGAACTGGTTCGCTAAATTTCGATCTGGCAATTTTGATGTCGAATATGCACCACGTTCGGGAAGACCGGTTGAAGCTGATAAAGACGCGATAAAGGCATTAGTTGATGTCAACCGGCGAATAACAACACGTGAGATCGGATTGAGGTTAAATTTATCAAATTCAACAGTTTATGACCACTTGAAAGGCCTGGGATTATCCTCGAAGCTCGATGTATGGGTTCTCCATGTTCTCACAGAGAGAAATCTGTATCGCCGCATTGACGTCTGCGATTCGCTTCTCAAACGTCACGAAAATGATCCGTTTTTGAAGCGCATCATCACTGGGGACAAAAAAAAAGGAATCGTTTTTTTTTTAGCTTTTACCGGATAACACAACGATTAATTCGGAAGTCTATTGTCATCAGCTGGACAAACTGAATGATGCACTTCAACAGAAAAGGTCAGAACTAATCAACAGGAAAGGTGTAGTGTTTCACCAAGACAACGCGAGACCTCACACAAGTTTGGTCACTCGCCAAAAGCTTTTCAAGCTTGAATGGGATACAATGCTACACCCACCATATTCTCCAGACCTGGCACCATCGGATTATCATTTGTTCCGGTCACTCCAAAATTTTTTAGACGGTAAAGCCTTCACCTCAAATGAGGAGGTCAAAAACCGCCTCGATCAGTTTTTTGCCAGCAAAGACCAAAAATTTTATGAACGTGGAATTATGCTACTACCAGAAAGATGGCAAAAGGTGTTGGACCAGAACGGTATTTGTTTATTATACGAAAACTGTCTTTCATTTCCACAAAAAAAAAACGAACTGACTTTCCGAACAACCCTATATAATTTCGACTTAAACGGAGAAAATGTTTTTATTAAAACCCTACCTGGTCTGCATGACAGTCAATTCCTTCATCAACAATATGGGAAATTTCACAAACGCATCTTGGTTTGATTTCGCTGGGTATGCACAGATGGGTGCAGTTGTGCGAATCGCACCCATTAACCCCATCGGGTTGCCTAGACTTTTGCATTATCGCAAACAGTCCGTTCTGGTACCCATTTAGTCTGAAACTATCACAAAAAACGTTCTCCCCATACAATCTACATTTTCCCATGTAACCGTTGGGCAACAAAAAATACAGGTGGTCTTCAAACAGACTGAGACCTCTGGTCACGTTATTCGCAATTGTTTTTTGGCCTTTACCGTCATAATCTATTCTCAATATGACGCTCTCGTGTTGATTGGCGTAATACAACTTCTTCTTATTCAGATCATACGCAATTCCAGTGATCAGTCCTTTGATGGACTCTGCCATTTCGAAGCAACTGGTTCCGTCCAAATTGCATCTGTACATTATACTGGTGGGGGTGTTGAACACCCACCAATGGACTTGGGTATAAAACAAATATTTGTTTATCGGATCCACCACGAGTGTAGACACGTCCGTATCTCTTGTTATATTCAATATCTTGGCACATTTCTGTTGTTCAAAATTACAAACTTTGATCGATTTCGATCTGGTATCGGCGTCGAAGTAGTAAACGTTTTCCGTGACCCAATCCACGCTTAACATTTTCGGATAACCAATATCGGACAGGAATTCTCTTTTACCAGATAAAATGTGAATACGTGAAATGGTTTGGAGATCTTGAACACTGAAATAGACGTGACTTGTTCTCAGGGAAACGTCGAGTCCTGTGATTTTGGGCGACTCCTGTCGGAATAAGACTGAAATTGATCTCTTGTGCTGGGAATACAGATAAATTTCGTTAAAGGTACTGACAACCATTTCCATGGGATTTCCAACGCCCTTGCAAGATATTCTATCAGCTCTAAACGAAAAATAATTGATCTTTAACCCGAATAAATAGAAAACTGCTAAATCTTCCTACCTTATAACGAAGCCATCAAAGCAATCACAACTGAACCCTCCGTCCCGTTCTTGACATTTCTGACTGCAAACCGGAGGATCACTTGAACATTCCTTGATATCCGTGCAAGTGTGACCATTTCCGCTCAGTTGGTAACCTTTCAAGCAAGAACACATGGGTCCCGATGGCGTCGGATGACAAACTTGCGAGCACGGATTATTGGTCTCGCATCGTTCCGAACAAGATCCGTACTCATCGGAACCGTCGTAACAATTTTCGTGACCATCACAGACCAAAGACATGTCGATGCAGTTACCGTTTTTACACCGGAAGCCATCTTTGCAGGGTACATGAACGTGGGGCATTGATGGGAAGACGTGATGGACACAAAGATCGGGAGATTCGTCAGAATCATCGCCACAGTCGTTGGCTCCATCGCAAACCCACTGGGATGAAATACACTTTTTGTTGTTACACTCGAACTGTTCAGTGTGACATTTGGTACAATTCTGTAAAGAAAACAAAATTAAAGTGGGAAAGTTCAGAAAGTTGTGTCTTTTTTGATGAAAGAATTCGTATTACCGTTTCGTCTTCGTGATGAGGACATTCAGACGTTCCATTACATTTCGCGTTTAGTGGAAGGCAAATGGTCTTGTTCTGGGTGCATGAAAACTCACTTGGTCGACACCCATTCTCATCTAGTATGACGTCACAATACATTTCGTCGGTAGCATCACCACAATCATCTACACCATTGCAACGTAAAGATTTATCGATGCAAAGACCGTTGGTACAGGAGAACTTATTGGATGTACACGATTTAGAACCTATCAAAGGAATTGCAAATATTTTTGACCAAACCACTCATAAAGTAGCGAAACAAAAATACTCAAAATTATTTGAATCAAAAATACCTACGAAATTTTGTTAAATATTTACTATACAAATGGTGCTGATTGAAAATGGAAGAAGGAGAGATGTTAGATCGTTAAAAAGGATTTAGCATTTTGATATATTGGAAACAGATTTAAAAATTAAAAAGTTGTTGCCAAAGTTTTACGAAACAGTCAAGCACAACGAGGCCATTTACAAAAGTTTAAGTCAGTTAAAAAATAATTTGACACAATATTGGGACGAAAAATATAATCTCCAAATCAAAAGAAAAATAAATTGATTGGATTTGTGATCCATTTGCGATAAACAACACGTTGGAGTATGAATTATAACTTTGAGACAAAAGAGTGAACTAATTAAAAAAATTGACTAAATCGGAATGTAATAATCAAGAGTTACGATTAATTAATAAAATGAAAGAATCGATCTTAAATACGATTATCCGACAACATCACAAAAAGCCTTGAAGATATGCCATTACAATTTTCCACGTGTTATTTGCGCGAATTCGATTTTCGATTTCGACAGACGTAAAAACGAAAAAAGATCCCTTTTTTAGAATTATCATTGCCCATATAAAAACCTAATTAAAAAAAAACACTTAAGATCAAATTTCGCATTAAATGTAATTTGTAATTTATCATTAAATAAACAATTGGTTTATTTAATGATAAATTGCAAGCAAAAGCAAATTTTACTTAAGCTGATTTTAAGTACCTAGGAAGTTACAAATGCAGGACGAAATTAGTAGTAAGTTAATTTAGAAATTCGAAGAAGTATATCGTGGATAGAGAAGGTTAGAAATGAAGAGGTTTTAGAAAGAATAGGAGAACAGAGGACTATAATGGAAGTCAGTAAGAAATAGGTGGGACAGGTTGGTAGGACACCTTCTCAGACGTGAAGGTCTAGCCAGAGACATATTGGAGGTAAACAGGTGTTAAAAGGAGTAGAGGTAAACCTAAATTCTATTTCTATTCTATTTCTATTTCTATTTCTATTTTGCATTTATATTTAGGATAATGCATGTTCAGATCAATTTTATACATAGTGTTTTAAATGTGATTTTAACTAATCGTAAGGCAAAATTTAAGAGTTTTTAAATTAATATAAATATATCTGTAAAATATGGGTGGAACGGTTGTCCTTAAAAAACAAAAGCTTTTACGATGAATTTTTTGTAACAAGCAAAAGATCACATTAGGTAAATGTTTGCCCAATCTTTACTGAATTAGCAAAGAAAACTTTTTCCACGCCTTACAGAGTGAGTATTAATCAAAAAAGACATTACCACCCGGCGCATCCACCATTTTTAAAATTTCGATTTTAAAGTCCTGCATAATAAGTTTTTTTAGTTGCTGATACCTTTTGATAGTGGAAAGCACCCGAAAAGTTAAAACTGGTAAAGTACCTACATTAATATTTTTGTACCTAGTTATTACTCAAATCCTATTTTCAATCTGAAAAACAGATTTTACGAATGTAGATACAGTATTGAAACTGGTAAACAAGAAGAATCCTTAATTTTTTTTTGAGGACCCCACTAACCCACTTTACTCTGGTCATTTACCTTTTGTTCATAATATGTGTTTACTAGTTTCTACAAAATAGCCAGTAGATGAACTGATACTGTCCTGATTCTGGTTTTAAGGCCTTCATCGATTGAAATTGCTTCCTGACGTTTCGCTAGTTTCTTCAAAGTCCCGTCCATCTCCGAAGCTGGATGTGGACTGTCCGATGCTAAATGGGAATATCCTGTAGGTATAGGAGATGAAAAGACCTCTGAAGAAGATAGCCATTTGTGCTAGCGAAACGTTAGGAAGCAACTGCAACCGACGACGACCTTTAGTGTTGCCCAAACGCAAGAACAAGACGAGACTTAGCCAGTCTTGGTCTTGGTCTTGCGCCAATACACCTGGTCTTGGTCTTGGTCTTGCGCTCCCAGTCTTGGTCTTGGTCTTGGTCTTGCAGCAAGAGTCTTGCAAGTCTTGCAATTACCTATTAGTCTATTACTATTTATTAAAGTTTACTTTAAATCCTAGAAAAACGTATTAGAATTGGAACATTGTGAGCTTGAATGAATATAGCCATAGTAAAGATCAAGCAGATTAATAAATAACTGAAGATTTGATAAGAAATTCGAAAAATCAACTGACCTATATGTCGTTTTCCATGGAAGTAACTGTTTCTTAATAAACATTTATGATCCTTGCTTTCTACCGCGCCGCCTCGCCNTGTTGAGTCGTAATATTCATTTTGTTATTTGTATATTTTTCAGCATCTATCTTTATATTTCTAGTGGAATGGTTATTTTATTATTATTACAATATTTTCAATTGTATACATTTTACAGCAGTTATTTGGGAATTGTAGTTTGCCGACCATCGAAATTCAACAGATTTTATTGACCATTGTGTCTAGTTTATATTGTAATATTCAATTTCTTTTATTCAAACACGAACACCCCAATAAAGTTCAATTGGGTTTTCGCTTGGGTTATGTTTCCCAGAAATCGACGCAAACGGTACATTTCTAAAGATGCGTTGCACGTGTGTCGGTACCCCAAGTACCGGTTAATGCCCTTCTGATACTCCCACTATCTTTCAACCCCTCTGTATCCCTGTCTTCATTTCATAACAAATCACGATCTTCTACTTTTTCTCCAACCAATCAACCTTTCCCAATTTGAATTTAATTCCACCCTTAAACTATTTCCTCCACTTTTCTATTTATTCTAATTTCAGGAGTTCAGTCATTCTTTGAGACACTTACAATTTGGCCTTCAATTCAATCATTCGCTCTTTCGGTTCGGTTTCTATTTTCATTAATTTCAAGTTTTATACAGTCCACTCTACATATTTAAGTTTTTTTGTTATCCATTTGTTTTGTTAAAGTGTTGTTAATCCTTAGTTAAGTGTTTTAAATATATAGTTAAAACCAAGTGCAGTTTCGTATCAACAATTACAATTGCGTAATCCTAAAAATTGGCCCCTACAATAATACAAATAAAGTCGTCAAACTACGGCGACAACAAAAATTATAGATTAATTGACTGACGTGGGTTGGAACAACCTAATTTAAAATATTTACTGTACACCCCCATATACCTAACATATTTTAACCGGTCCCCTTTTTCTCACCATTTAACTGGCCTACTAGACCTAAAATCCCGTTACATACTTGCAATCATAATGAAAATTGCAGGCCAATTCTTCCCTGATACATTCACCAGTCTCACACTGGAAATGTCGCGCTGGACATTGCACTTTCGGCTTACAACCCTCTTCGTCTTCGCCCCCTACACAATCTTCGTGGCCGTTGCATCGCATTGATTGAGGGATGCAATGCATCGGTTTAGAACAGAAAAATTCGTGATGTTCACAAACAACAGGCTTATAACAGTTCTTTTGGTCGGTTCCTAGTTTCAATCCCAGCGGACAGGCACAGGAATAATCTTTCCTGGATACCAAACAAATGTGACTACAATTTCCATTATTAACTTGACAGGGATGATGTGCATTTCTGTGAGGCGTCACAGATACCAAATGAATTATTCTTTCGTTGTCTGAGAAACCTAAGAGAATTTGGATTGTAATCATATTTAATTACTTAAATAAAAGTTACAACTTCTGAATGCATTTAAAGAAGGAAATTAATATGATGTTGTTTAATTGACGTACCCAAATCAAGTTTTCGATGTAACAGTAGACTTCGGTTCTGAACTTTGTTAGAACAAAACAATTTTGCTGAATTTCGAACACTCCAAAATACATTATCACTAGTAGAAGCAATGCCTGTAGGATTTGTTAATAGCGAACGGAATCCATGTCTATCATCGCCTATACATGCCAAAAAAGAAAACCAAACTGAGGAATTAAAGACTACAATAACTTCAAAAAGTTACAATTTATTGATTGACGATACAGTAGGAAGGAGTGGAGGTGCGTGTCCAACCAGTCTTAAAACTGACGACCTTATGAAGATGATAACAGTAAAAATTATGAAAACATGGTTAAATTTAGCCATAGAACTATTCTTGGTGTGTATTGTTTTATTTTCAATAGTTGTGATATGCAAGGGAAGAAAAAGTAGGGAAAGAGCGAATATAAAGATAGGAGACGAAAAATTAGAAGAAGTGGCTAATTTTAGATACCTAGGAAGTCAGATAAGTCAGGATGGAAGGAGTAGTAGGGATATAAAGCAGAGGATAGCGCAGGGTCGTGTCGCCTTTAATAAAAAGAAGTCACTTCTATGCTCGCGAACGGTTAATTTAAAAATTCGAAAAAGGTTGTTAAAGGTGTATGTTTGGAGCGCGCCGCTGTACGGGTGCTACACAGGGACAGTGGGCGCGGCGGAAAATAAAAGGTTAGAAGCGTTCGAAATGTGGTGTTGTAGGCGAATGATGAGGATACCGTGGATAGAGAAGGTTAGAAATGAAGAGGTATTAGAAAGAATAGGAGAACAGAGGACTCTGTGGAAGTCAATAGAAAATAGGCGAGATAAATTGGTAGGACACCTTCTCAGGTATGAAGGTCTAGTCAGAGACATATTAGAGGCAGAAACAGGAGTTAGGAGGGGTAGAGGTAGACCTAGATTAGATTACTGTTCGCAAATAGTTAAGGATGTGGGTTGTTCTAGTTTTAGGGAAATGCGAAGTTTAGCTCAGGATAGGAATGAGTGGAGGTACGTGTCCAACCAGTCTTAGGACTGACGACCTTATGATGATGATGAGTTGTGATAAGGAATGGAATTGGGAAGGATAATACAAGAAAGGTTAAAAAAATTAAACAGCAAAAATCTAAATTCGATCCTGTCATTTGTGTGATACTAAAAATCCCAAAAAACTCTATATTTTTTAAGTACCTTCTATGCTTGTGCTTTCAATGTTTCCAGTGTCGAAATCTGTCCAAAACACTCGAGACAATTGGAAATCGTACATCAGATTGACTGGTCCCAAGAGACCTTGTTCAATTACATGAGTTCGGCTTGTACCATCCATTAACATACGATCTATGTGAACTGTGAAGACCTTTTTGAAAGCAACAAACATTAATCTGAAATTAAATGCAAATATTAAATACGTACAACACAAGTAAAGATGAAAATCTCCTTAAAAAAATAAGTCAGACGTCTATAAATTAATGCTATATTGGTCAAACAGGAAGAACATTCAAAACCAGAATTAATGAACATTTTAAAAGCTCTGAATATAAAAAAGAAAATTGTAACTAAGAAACAAAACTTAATAGTTTTTAACAATCTCTGGAAATAAACAAAATTAAAAATCATAACGCAAAACTATTGTTAAATAATCAAATAGAGTTAAATTATATATCACCATTGTTGTTGTTAAATTTATTCTAATGTAACCCTCTCTTTATATATACAATAAACTACAATTCTATAAAATATTTAGTGTAACACTCCACTTGAAAAAGCTACTGTGTTAGCGAAACAATTGTCGTTGTAAAAATAAAAAATTGTGAAAATTATTAGTAGTAGAATGAAGATTCGGGCTATAGGGCCGTGGTCTAAGTGAACTGTTCCGTCCAGACGTTTCGTCAGCTACTAAGGCTGACATCCTCAGTGGTGGTGCTGCAGTAGCTGACGAAACGTCTGGACGGAACAGTTCACTTAGACCACGGCCCTATAGCCCGAATCTTCATTCTACTATGGATTCCGGCCGTGAAAGCCTTTGTTCTTATATTGTGAAAATTATTATTTTTTATAAAGTTATGAATTTTCACCAAATAAATGTCGATTCCATCATGTATATGGATAGAAAACATTAATAATGAGGGGCGGTTATTACAAAAAGTACGAGAACAGATAGATAAAGTAAGAGATGGGATGGTAGGACACCACCTGAGACATCAAGAACGATTAGAAACGAACTAGAAGCAGAAACAGAAGTAAAGGGAAGCAGATGAAGATCTGTATTAGATTATTGTTCGTATTTTTCGGACTTTATTTGAATAGTTAATGAGACTATTTTTGATTCCCTTTTATTTGACATAAAATGTATTCGAAAATTAAACTTCAGTATACGTACCCCTCAGATGGTATCAGTACCATAGCAATTGGTGATTCTTCTTCCAAATCGTGCAATAAAACTGTTTTCGCATTTGTTTGCAAGCTATAAACGTTGACGGTTGCCTTAACACTATCGCACCAATAGATGTTTTTACCTAAAGCATCTAAAACGGACGAAGATAAATTACAAGTATTGAAAATAAAAACTAAATGTAAGGTTCACACTTGACAATGTTGTTTCGCCAAAGTTAGGCTTCTTTAGAAGTTATATAATGATCTTCTGAAGAAGCCAAAGTTCGGTCAAGCTTCCTGTAGTCGAAAGTAATAAAAGTTTGTTAAAGTTTACAAATTAATTTTTATTTTCTATGTTTTTGTAGCTAATTAAATAACCAGTTGATAGATCCTTTTTTGATTTGTTCAACATCAACATTTTATATCAAAACATTTACAACCCCAAGATAAAAATAGACATTTTTTATTTTGTATTTGCATTTTAAATGCAAGTATTTCAAATAAATTTCATCTCTAAATCGATGATACCTATTAAACATATTGAACAAATCTCTAACAGTAAAAATGTTTTCTTAAAAGGTGTGTTTAAATAACGTAGGTCATTAAAATTACCATACTGAACAGACGATACTGCTCCAATTGTTAAATCCGTAAAAAGCGAATCCGTGATAAGAAACACCAAATCCATTGATAGGAATGTCTTCGTCCATGACTCGAAAATTATTAATGAATTTGATTCTCCATTGTAAGCGATCGCGCCAATTTCTTTTGCATCAACAGGTAGCGTTGTCACTTGATGTTTTCCTAATAATTTATAGTCGATCGATACTAAAAGATTTCTCGTACCAGCAATCACAAATTCTTTCTTTTTATCCTCTGCAAAACAACGTAAATATTTATTTAAATTACGTTCATTCATTTTCAACAGTAAATAAATTGATAATAGAATAATAAACAACAAGATGAGAAGATTGACTGAATTTCACACAATTTTTGTTTTAGGAAATTTTTAGATAGTCGTTCTTCCTATTTTAATGTATGTTTACGTTGTCCTTCCACTATGGAATGAAGAATATAATTATATTTTGGGTCAAATTTGATTATACCAAGGGTTGTTTTCTTTGTGCTTGTTGCAATCTTTTAAAAACAGCCTTTCCTTATTACCTAAGCACGTATGTTTATCAGAGGAAAGAGTTTTCTCCTGAGGACAGGCGCAGCTGTACGAAGTTCCCCTTAAAAGACAAATATCGCTACACAATGAGCCTGCACATGGATTATGAATAGAAGTGTTTTTCATGGACGAATGGTGTATACGAATTCCATAAATTTTATGATTAATTTCTGTAACCAGAGTTTTTCTATTTTTACAAGTAAATTTCTCGCAGGATTCTAGGGATTGAGTAGCCCAGTCGGACCAATATAATCTATTCTCAAACACTGCTATAGAGTACGGATGTTTTACTATTCCTTCCAGGATGGTCTAAAAATTTCCACCGTAATTTTTTATAAACATATGGGGATGTATTTACCCTTCTGTCTGTGCCGTCTAAACGTATACTTTCAATGGTAGTGTGTTTGGCATCGGTCCAATAGAGTCTTTCGTTATGGTAATCAAGTGCTAAACCATTGGGCCAATGAATTTTGTCACTTACAAAAACCGTATAATCAGAACCGTCCATTTTTGATCTCCCAATTTTCGAAAAATTGCCCCAATCGGTCCAATACATTTCCCTTTAAAAACAGCAATTAAAAATTTCACAACTAAAAGGTAGCAGCTTTACTGCTATTCACTTTTACTTGCAGCAACTGGTCAGTTATTTTATTTATTTAATATTTAACCATTTCATGGCGTTGCAGTTTATAGAACGAACGATATTTATCCTTGAAGGAAACGAAAGTAAAGTTTCAAAAATATATATTAATTGTTTACATCAAGTGTTTCACCATAACATTGATTTCTTCAGATGAAGGTATTCTGATTGAAATTATTACAAAATTAGCATAAATACTAAAAGTTTTCAATTTTATGGGGTAGGAACAACGAAAGGAAGGGATGAGGTAAGTCATTAAGTTTTTGAAGACAAATTTAAATTTTATAATGAACTATTTACATCAATTTGATCATTTTTCATTAAAACATTTAATTTATTGTATTTATTAATGTAAAGACTTTCGGCTAGGTTCGATTTATAGGTTTTTGGTAATTCCTTTNAAAAACATTTAAAATTTTTTATAAACATGTAGGAAATTCTGAAGAATTTGAATGTTCTATAAAGCCAATCATGGTTAACTCACATGTAATAAATTTATAAATTTATTTGTTACTATCGTCATCGCAGTCTAACTTATCACAAATTTAGTGAAACAAATAACGTGTTATTACCGAAATAACACTTTGTTTGTTTCGAAAAATATTACTTTCTATCCATGTATAAAGGATAAACCTTCCTTCATATATTTTGTTCTTCTTTTTCAATAATAATACCGTACAAATGTTTAAAGAATAAACTTACTACAAAATTTAAATTTGTCTCCAAACACATAATGTCTTACCTCATCCCTCCTTTTCGTTGTCCCCACTCCAAAAAATTTGTAAACTTTTAGTATTTAAGCTAATTTTGTAACAATTTTAATCAGAATATCTTCACCTGAAGAGGTCAATGTTATGGTGAAACAATTGTTGTGAACAATTAATATGTATATTTTTAAAACTTTATTTTCGTTTCCTTTAATTGATTATTAAGTTTCCACAAGTAAAGCATTCTACCATTAATTAGATATTTACCCTACTGAAGGATTTAGAACAATCCCTCTTGGCTTATCAATGTCTTCGTTCATGATAACAGTGCAATGAGATCCGTCACTAGTACAAACTCCGATATGCTGCATATCGGAATCGGTAAAGTAAAGATTTTTTGTGATCCAATCGATGCAAATGTCTTCAGGGGTCACCAATCCGGATGTAACGATTAACTGAAATATTTGTGAGTAGATTTCAGTAGAATTACTTCGAATTACTTTGTAGCAAGTACCTCCCTATGGGTTCCATCTTCTCGGGCGCGAGTTATGCTTTCCGATTCCGAAAAGACGTCGGTCCAATATAAATGTTCACCGTCGAAATCTACACCGATTGCCTGATTCAAACCCTTCGCAAGTGAGAAATAAACGTGAGACTGCAAAAATAGCCCCCTTAGCTCTGACACAGTACTGAATACCATTAAGGCTTCGCCGTTTTTGGCGAGACAGGTTCTTTTATCCGATTGTAATACGTAGTTTTCATCGCAATAGCATTCATAAGAACCGAGATTATTTCGACATTTTTGGTCACATATGCCTGCAAATATCCATCAGTGAATAAACCAATAGAGCAGGAAGGGTTCACATAAAATATGCACAAATTAATGAAAAAAAATCGGTTGTCTGTAAAGTCGGTTTACTGACGATAATTGAACGTGACAACGTCATAAGAAAATACTGATGGAATGGTTTCATTTTTCAAAAGAAAATTTTAATTTTATTTGTTTGATAGATATTTTGTATGGATATAGAGAAGGAGGTAAATGGAAATGTATTATTGTATAGCAGCTGTCCACGCGGACGCATCG